TAAAATCTTTAATTCTTTGTGTTTTATTATAATTAACATTTTTAAATTAGATTTCTCATTAACAACACAGGGAGGAGTCTGTATATTACACTCCATCTGTTGTACTTAAACATCTCAAAACATGTAGGTTAATATTAAAGATAATTCATCATTATTTTTAATTCTTTGGGTATTATTATAATTAACATTTTTAAATTAGATTTCTCATTAACAACACAGGGAGGAGTCTGTATATTACACTCCATCTGTTGTACTTAAACATCTCAAAACATGTAGGTTAATATTAAAGATAATTCATCATTCTATTTTTAATTGTAGCTCTTGTTTAACATGATTGTAATACTCATATCTTCCACACTTCTCCAGCTCCTAGTCTTGCTGATACTCACCTGCACTATTTTTTGTTGTTGCTTGTTGTTGTTGTTGTTTTGAGACAGGGTCTCACTGTGTAGTTGAGACTGACCTGGAACTCACTATGTAGCCCAGGCCGATCTTGAACTCACAGCGATGCTCCTGCCTCAGACTCCCCAGTGCTGGGATTACAGGCGTACAACCACCATGCCTGGCTCTCCTGTACTATTATTAAAACAATGCTGTGTATATATTTCTGACAACTCTGTACATGTGCCTTCTGCATTAGAAAACCTACATTCACAAATTTATACAATGTCAGATTCTTCCTAAACCTTAATGACATACTTATAATGAACCCTATCTTCCTGTATTTTTTAGATCAGTCAAGATGAGACTTGATCCTGGGCTAGGCAAGGTCAGCCCCATCTCAGCCTGATGAAGTTAAAAGAAAAAAGATATTTGGGCCCCTCTGCATCCCTTCAGAATAAAGTATCGAAACCTTGGGGTACGGGGATGAGGTAGGATAGAATTATAGGTAGAAGCTGGGCATGGTGATGCACACTTGTAATCCCAGCCCTTGGGAGGCTGAGGCAGGAGGATTGCTGTGAGTTCGAGACCAGCCTGGGCTACCTAGTGAGTTCCAGGTCAGTCTCAACTACATAGTGAGACCCTGCCTCAAAAAGCAAACAAAAAAAGAAATATAGGCTGTTAGGAGACAAAATCATAACTTTAAAAATGAGGGGCCAGAGATTTAGCTCAGTGGTGCCGATGCATGCCTTGCAAGCACAAGGCCCTGCATTCAAACCCTGTTACCAAAAAAAAAACAAAAACAAAAACAAAAAAATTAAGAAGACTTTGTATAATAATGAAAACTGCAACTTCAAGACATAAATCTAGTTTTAAAAAAATTTTTCTCCCATGATACAGTAGGACTGGGGCACTTCCTTATACTGCAGATGAACTGGGGCCATCCCCTTTTACCTATAAATCGATGTTACCTATAGTAGATCACCTCTTTTCACCTGTGAGATTGGCCTTTCCCTGGAGATGGTATTGACCGCTACCCTCTAAGAATGGGCCACCATCGTCCCCCTGCAGAAAGAGCTGTCGCCTTTCAACTACAAATTGAATTCCCTCTTCACAGATTCACAAGTTCTGCAGTTTTCTGCCATAAATAACCCAGCTCAGGGCCATTAGCACACCTCTCTCTGGAGTGCCGGCAGTTTCATTTGCTTCAGTGTGTTTTAAATTATGCCTAATAAATCCCTTTATGCATCTTACTGATGCGTCCTGAAGATTCTTTTTCTGCGATGGAAGTCAGTGAACCTGCAATCTGTCCCATGGGCTCCCCATGTCCACTTTGGAGACCTCCTTGGACCCTGTCTGGTGACATAACCGCCACTGACCTCTCATGGCTTCATCAAGCTCAGCTGTGGGAGCTGGCACTCCAGAACCCCAGCCTAGGGGAGCAAGGGAATAGGACGGGGTTCTGATTCCTCGCCCTCTGATTGGTAGCCCCTTTGAAGTCGTCTTGCTGGTCCAAGAAATTAGCTCCCATTTAGTCATCAGGAAACCGTGAATAAAATATTTCTGATTATCTCTTTAGTCTGATGTTTGAGAAAAAAGAGCAGTGGGAATGAAGAGGCAATTGCCAAATCTTTTTTAATCTAAGAATAGACTACACACACAGCAGGGAGAAAAAGGTCCTCTCACTAATTGAACACAAAACTAAAATTCCTACTTACTGGAATAAACTCAGAAAAATGTGTGCACGGATTGGACACACAGGACAAGGGCACATGAACAGCAGAGCATGGAGGGTCATGCAGTCTCACAATGTTTCTTCCTTTTTCCTTGATCCACTCTTCCCTCCTTGGGAAACCCCGATAGTAGAAATCTCATTCACCTGAAGACCTGATTCTACACAAAAATTACGGGAGTTGCACATTTCTGCTTGTTGAACAGCATACTGGCTTTGCTCCGCTTTGTTCGGATGATAAGGCAGTTTCCTCTTCTTTCTCTTGCAGGGCCGACAGTTAAAACACAGAGTTGTTGTGTTTATAGCCACTACAAGGAGGACAAAAATAATGAAGAAGATGGTAGAACTGCTTCCTTCGCTGGGTCCTGGCCAAAACACAAAAGATATAGAAATTGGGGGTGGAAGGGTCCAAGACAAGAGACTCAGCCCACCTCAGCCCACCAAGCCCAATTCTTAGTCTCACCTTCCCCAGCCCAGAAAAATGTTCCTTGCTGATTTTTATCAAAACCCTGGCGGATTTCTATCCCAAGCCTAGCAGCAGGGGAGAAGCAGTCACCTTGAACAGTCACAGCAATGTCTTTGCTGACAGAGCCCAGCTGGTTGGTGGCCGTGCAGCAGTAGATCCCAGTGCGGCTCTGGGTCGCTTTCTGTGGCACTGCGAGGTCAATGACAACCCCATTCCAGGTACACGCTAAAGCCGGGGCTGGGTTTCCCTCTGGGACACAAGCAAGCATCTGCTCCTTCCCTTCTACCCACGTCTGGTTGCCAGGGCAACCAGATTCTTCTAACCTTGGCTTGTCTGAAAGAAAAGAATCCCCGAGGAAGCCAGCTTGTTGTGGGTCCCGTTCCCTCCTGACCCTCACAGTCAGCTGCTCCTCCTTCCCCAGTCTAAATGCTGTTTCCTTGACACATTTCCTTCCAAGGGAAAGACTATCCGTTTCCTGTTTTGGACCAACTCCCCTCTCTTCTGTTTGGACGAGGAGTCTGAGATGAAACCTAGGGCATCTTTATGCATTCGGGTTAAACGGTAAAACATTGCTATCAGTGGCGCCCTGGAGCCCCTGCTTCCTAGCTTAGCTTCTCAGTGGGTAGTGACAAAATCAGAAATGAGGATTTTTCTCACTTTTCAAAATACAAATTTTGATATGGAAATTTCCCTCCTTAGCATCAGCTCCACTAGTCCTTTTGTTTATTATTATTAATATTATTATTATTATTATTATTATTACTATTATTATTGCTTTTGTGAGACAGGGTCTCGCTGTTAGTTTAGGCTGGCCTTGAACACACAGCAATCTGCCTGCCTCAGCCTCCCAAGTGCTGGGATTACAGGTATGTGACACCATTTAATGTTCTCCTCAGCCAATCACGTTCAACAAATGCTGTCTTGACTGCCTTTAAAACTTCTCTTTCTAGCTTCCATTTTCCCTCATCTTCCTTTACACTCACTTGGCTGGGGGCAAAATAAGCCTGGAGAGGGAGAGTTTCCATTTTATTTTCTCCTTTGATTGTTCTGTTTGTTTGGTTGGTTGGTGGGTTGGTTGAAAAAAAAAAACGTGACAACTCTAATAATGAAGTTATTGGCCAGGATCTCTGCAAATACAAAGATAATCCTTTTTGACAAGAAAAGATCGGGCTTCTACTCACATAAAACATGGAGCTGAATCACAGTAGTTTTAACCAGTCGCTGACCCTGCACCTCCAAAGAGGCCTCACAGGAGAAATTTCGGCCATCATCTTCCTCCTTGGCAGTAAACAGAAGCCAGGCAGGTTCCCCAGGGGCAGGGACATCGGGGGCCCCTTGAAGCCGAAGAGTAGGACTGGGTGAAGTTAGTGCATGCCCCGAGCAGGTTACATTAACATCTGTCCCTGCCAGCGTGTGTGATTCTTCTATCTCTAGGATTGGTGGAGGGAAACCTATAATAAAGAGAAAGAAAACAGAAAACCAAGCCCATGTTTGAAAACAGGCAGCACCTTCTGTGCCCTCGCTGCTGGTGACCTCCCTTGGGCAGGCAGACAAAAGAGGGAAGATGCTGAATGTCCTTAGCGCTTCTGCAAAGCCTGCATGGAAAGAACAACAGTGCTTTTGGGAAATCGAGAGCTTCTGTTCCGACAAATTCAGCAGTGCGTACGTTTGCTATGCTGCTATGAGGGAAGCGAGACGTCTTTTCACCTCGCAGATCTCCCTACCTCGGGTCATTGTTCCGGAACGAAGTTTGAGCATCCCAGGCACTCTTCGAGCGAGAACCCCTGTCCTAACACCACCTGCCTGCCTTTAGCAGAAAAAGAGAAGCAGTGTGCCTGGAAAAGGTCACCCCGACGCATGACTGCGTAAGTTTTCAAGGGCGTGGGGGAGGCAGGTCACTCACTGTAGATACGCACTAGCTGCCTTGTCTGCTGTTCCACTGGACCCAGAGACACAAAGCATGACACTTCCTGGTCACCAGCCTCCATGGCCCGGACGGTGGCATTAGCCCACACTGTGTCTCCCTTCCAGGAGAGGAAGGGGCTCAGCTCCTGGTCTCCCAGGAACATGTGGAATACAACTTCCTTGGCTGGAAACACCCTGGCCACCTCACAGCTCACAGGCTCTGCCGTCCCAACTTCCAGGACTGAAGAGACCCAGATCAGGGGGCTCTGAAAGAATTCTGCCAAGAAATTGGGAAGAGGAAAATTAAAAGAAAGGAGAAAAACCACGATAAATCATGTGCCGCGAAGCAAGGGAGTGGTGCTCAATGGTCTTTCTCTCACACGATGCGTTAAAGGACAGCTGAAGCTCCATTACTCTCACAACCTCACCCTAAACCCTGTGGGAACTTGGTCTCACAGGCCCTGGCAAAATGAACGAAATGAGGGCCTGGACTCTTGACTCACCAAAGATCCGGAGCACCTTGATGGCTGAGCGGCCACGAAAGAGCCCTCCACCTCGTGAATTCAAATCCACTTCTGCACTGCAGGAGAAATTGCACCTGTCATCCTCCCTCTGCGCTTTGATACTGATGGTGACCTCAGCTCTTTGAGAGGCCAAAGCCAAGCTGACAAAGTTCTTTCTGTATAGCTCTTGGTTACCCTGGAAAAGGGTAAGGGTGAGGTACTCCAGGGGTGCCACACGGGGCACAAGGCACCTCACTGTAAAGGCTTCATCCATGGCTACCCAGTCGGGCTGCAGCTCCAGGATCACCTGCTCTGGCGGCTCTTTAAAACAAAAAGGTAGGGCTTGATGAAAGAGGGCTACCTACCTCTCCAGAAAGGTGACTGCTACCCATTAAACCATCTCCCTGCCAGCCTCTGGCTCTTCTGCCCCTCAAGGGTGGTGAGAGCCATGGCCAAGAAATGTGACAGTTGAGAGAGGTCCTTTGCTTTGACTGTTGTTGCCATTCCGGAGAATTTTATTTCTTTTCAGAGGTGCTTCAGAGACATGACCAGCTTTGAGAAAGCTCCTCAGCATCACACAAAAACTCCATCCTACCTGAGTTCTTTGCCCATAGGGATCCCAACTATTCTTTTCTTTTTTGATATCAGGGATCGAACTCAGGTCCTTGCACTTGCGAGGCAGGTGGCGGAACCACTGAGCTAAATCCCTGGCCTGGGATCCTTACTACTCTTAACAGCTGTAACTTTGCCAATGCTAGTTTACCCCTGAAAGATCCTCCTCACCCACCCCAATAATTCAAAGCCTATCTATTTTGCAGAAGGGAAGCTTGGAGCCTTCTTTTTCATAGACTTTGCTAGTTATCCCAGTTCAGAAACCTCTCCTTTCTCCAATCCCTATTTAAGACCTTGTAGTAAATAAGCTAGCACTTGTTTTACCCTTTTTTTGGGTGATTTAGAGGCTAGCATTATTAGTATCTGCTTCTTGTATTTGACGATATTCTCAAGCAGAGATCTCAGGAGGCCCTTTACAGTCTACTAATAATATAAAACCCAGAATAGAAGTGCCAGGCTCTAGAATCCTGACAGTATAACAAACATCTTTATGAAGAGCACCAGTTCTCTCCTAAGAGAAATCCCTCATTTTTCCCTAAATAAATTTAGACATATTTCTGTTTCCCCCACTCTGCCCATCCTCCCCATCCCTTTACCCCGCTCACGATACACAGTGATGTCAAGGCTTGCGTCCTTCTGGATCCCTGCACAAGAAAAGAAGCACCGCAGGACAGAGTTCTCTGTGACACCCTCCAGGAGGAACAGCTTCCACTGACGCCCTTCATCCACCTGGGTTTTCTTTAAGAAGGTGTCAATTCCACTGGGTCCTGGGTCTGGGCAGGTGGTACTGCAGTTGACCACTAGAGACTGTCCAAACCTCACGAGAGCCTGATTTGGCCAAACAGAAACCTCAAATAGCTCTTCTGTGGCCCCTGAAATGAACACATATGCCAAAGACTCCGGTGAGGACCACCAGACCCAGACAAAATACAGAGACTGTTCTACCTAATTTTAGGTTAGAGAGTAGGGAAACTTCCCTGAATGAAAATGTTCAGGGGACTGGACAATAAAAGACCTTTAATACACAAGTGGGAGGACTGGGGATTTAGCTCAGTGGTTGCGCCACCTGCCTCACAAGCGCATGGTCCCAAGTTTGATCCACGGTACCAAAACCACAGCAACAAAAAAGTGAGAGCCCTGATTTGATTCCACTACTACTCCTTTTATCTGTCTGCTTCCTTTAGATAATTGCTTCACCATGGAATCGGTGGAGTTCTTAAAATCATTCCCATGAAACTATTCTCTTCATAAGCTTTCAAAATTCCTAGACACTTCCCAGGTTTGTCTACTGGGGACACTCATGGGGTTAGCAGGCCCCTGGACAAAAGCTTTCTTTACTTATACCTTAAAACAGTGTTTTCTCTCAAATTATAGTTCAGGACCTCTTTCACTAGAATCACCTGGAATGTTTGTACAACTGCAGATTCCTACTTCATCTTGGATTGAGTGGTTACAAATCTGTAAAGATGGGACCTGGAAACATGCCAGAGAACAAAGCAAGCCTCCTGGGGCCCCTTCTACCAACCTAACTGTGAGCAGCACTGGCTATGATCACTCATTTCCCATTGAACTTTCCATTTCTTCCATTTTGCTTCAATGCTAAAGCAAGGGGTGATTTGGGATGCCTGTAAGTTTAGTCTGTGTATGGCTTGGTCTTCAATGTCATCCAGAGGCCCATATGCTAAAAGACTTGGTCCTTAGCCTGTGGCTGTATTCAGAGGGAGTAGAACCTTTAGAAGGTAAGGCTTAGAGGAAGGAAATTAGCTCCCTGGGAGCATGCCATAGGGAATACTGGGGCTCCATCCCTGCTCTTTTTGTTTTCTGGTCACCAAGAAGGAAGTGGCTTTGCTCTATCGTAACTCTTGTCATAACACTGTGCCTCACCACAGCCCCCAAAACAATGTGGTCTAGCAACCATGGACTGAAGCCTCTGAAACCAAAATAACTCCTTCCTCCTTTTAAGTTGGTTTTCCTAGGTATTTTTTTTCCTGGAGACCAAAAGCTAACTGAAGTCTATCAGAGAAATCTCATGTTCTGTAAGAGATATCAGATAGGTTTTAGACATCTGATGTAGGTGAGTGGCACGGCCTCCTGAAATCTTACCTACAGGTCCCCTTTAGCCAGCCCATGTCTACCACCTACCACATATACTAAATGCAAGTTCCCTCTGGGAATATACAACTCTTAGAGCAATGTTACTGGCTAAGGCTTCAGACTCCCTTTTTTGCCATTAGAAACTCACTCCTTGCAACTGAGCTATGGGCCTTGTACTATGACCCATGGTGGCTCATCCTGTCACAAAGAGTGGCAACAAAGTAAAAACATTCATGAGAAGAAAAAGACAAGACACTTTTGGGACACCAGAGAGCCAAGCAGTGGAGGCACATTTCCCAGGGGAATTTTCTCAGATGGTTTATTAATTTGGTTATCCCAATTATAAGCCAAAGACACTTAAGGGCTCTGTGTCCATGTGATCTAATAAAAAAATAAATAAAACTCTCCCAAGGGTCTGGATGAGCTAATACTGAAGTGTCACCATACCCAGGACTTCTCATCCCTGTCCTCCTTGACCTGCTGCCTGTATTCCAGCACCTACTAAAGAAACCTTCCCAAACAGCCTCACCTGGGCAAGGGATCAAGGCCAGCAGGGCCCAGACACCAAACGGAAGCACTGTCATCCTTCAGAGAAAAGGCCAAAAGCTGGAGAAGAAGAAAAGCAACAGTAGTACTGGAGAAAGTGGAGGAAAAAAGGATATAGAAAATTCTTTCTACTGTTAGATCAGCCCCTTTCCTAACACCTTATTTAGTCTGGAGAAACTGCAGCAAGTAGGGGAGTGTACTAAAAGTTCTTCTTGCATCTATTCATCCAAGTTTGGTCTATGCATATAGGAAAAAGACAAGGAAAATATGAAAACCAGTGAAGGGATATCCGAGTAGTGAGATTACTTTTATTAGATAACTTCCATCTATTAGACTGAACCAACAAAAGGGTGTCAGCATGAAACATGACAAATGGATTTAGAGAGAGAAAATTTGGCAGTGTTTATCTGACACTGTCCAGTGGAAGATGGCCCTGAATCTAAAGAATGTGGTCACTAAAGTTCTGTTCTCTGATGTAAGGGAGAAATGTTTCATCAGGCCCCTCTTTAGGACCTGTGAAAATATCCCTCAAAAAAATATATCCTTCAAAACATTTTTTCTTTTTGTTT